AGTGATGAGGCCAAGGAGAGAACAATGTAAGAATGAACAAGTGATGATGCCAAGGAGAGAACAGATATAGAAGAACAATCGAGTAAGAACACAGATGAGAGCAATACATATAATATACGAGTGAATAGAGAATGAGAAGCGCGTTACGACAGCAAGAGAATAAGGTTCAATCAAGCATACATAAACGTAAGAGTAATGCGATTATGAACACACGTAACATTGATTGTACAAGAACACACTGAGAAAGTAAAGATATCATATAAGATGATATGCCCATTGGCACACTTATCTTTTCTTTTCATTGTGCTATACACTTTCTAACTTTTATTTAAAAAAATGTTCGATGGATAGTGATAATTTTATTATAATCAAATAAAAAAATACAATAACAGAAACACAACTGGTAAGAAAAGAAACAAGTATATGAGCGCTAGCTACGTACAATAAATTAGAAATCTTCACCTTCAAGATGACAAATGAAAAAAAAAGAAAAAGTTATTGAATAATGTTCTTTGAAAATGCTTGATTATTGAGATGACATTAAGTTGGGTTGATATTTTCTGCACACAAAAAAGAAGATTTACTAAATTTGATAGTAAAAACAGTAATAAATGATTAACTTACCAATTTAACTCTGAGGATATCATTCAAATACACTTCTTGGATTGGAAAAACTTGGAGCCCTATCAAAACAAAAGTCTAGTAAAAGCTAAAATTTTTTTATTTTCATATCTATACTTGAAAAGAGCTACAAATCTTACAGAAACTGACGAGGTAACTTACCGAGATGTTCAATCATTTAAGGACAGAGACTACATCCGATCGATAAAGTCTAGCGGGTGCATAAATTTTTATTGGTCAGCTTGTTTTTACCTATATTCGTAATTTAGAGTAAAGACATACAGACCAATCTCAGTGAAAAATCCAGACGCTGACCTACTGAGAAAATCCAACTCTTACGGTAGAGTTCAGGTTCGCGCTTCAGAAAAATTGTCCCATTGACTAATACACGAAAAATTAATAATCAAAACAAAGATTTCATTCAAATATTGTCAAAAGTTTGAGAAAAATTATTA